ATAGATTAAATATAGTATTAATCACCTCTTGATTATACTAAGAAATATAATAAATCTATAGATACTAGATTTAAATATACTCTTACTATTCTTTCTTAAGTAGAACTTATAGCTATTACTCTTTAGAGATATATATAATTCCTATATTAAGTTTATTAGGATTTATCTAAATATTAAATAATTTAACTAATCTCTTAAACTTCTATATCTTATATTTATAGCTGGGATACTTATAAATTATTATACTATTAGCTATCTTTACTATCTTACTGTTACTAGTATTAACTTATAGTAGAGATATTCTATTAATATATTTAGAATACAGGAAACCACTTAGTAAACACCTTTCTTTAGAAAAACCAACTCTATTTTATTATAGATGGGGGTAGTATCACCAGGGGCAATATTACCAGAAGTGGATATAGAAGATTTAGTCTAGGAAAGTTTAGAAATATTATGTATAATAGGAAAAGCTGTGACATATTTATTATTTCTTAATATATTAAGTTAAGTATAATAACTGACTTTTATAGGTACTAATATATAGTTAGCTACCTTAATAAATAAGAAGTTAGTATTAATAAGATAATAATTTAAGAATACTCTAGTATTTCTAGACTTAAAGATATAATTAATATTTATAAGCTATACTTTTACTTTAACTAGAATATATATCTTCGTATACGGAGGGATAACTATTATATAAGTTGAATATACTAGAGTTCTTATTCTATTCAGCTTTATATAGATAAAGATGGAGAAAGTAAAATCTTAGTAGAATTAAATATATATTATCTATCTTTTATAATCTATAATAATATCTTCTCTACTAAGTATATTAGTCCTAATAAGAAGATTTAGGTAAAGACTATCTACTAGATATACTTTTACTATAATTATAGTATACTTAGGAATAGATATATCTATATTCTTATTATAAGAGAAATATATCTTAAATATAATAAAGATATTTGACTTATAGAAAGATTTAATACTAAAGATATTAAGAAGAGGATTAGTAATCTTAATACTAGTATTAGATATATTCCTTACTAAGTCTATATTAATAATTATAGATAAATACCCAGTATTGAGATATACAGATATATATAAATTAGTATAGTTAAGACTAATTTTTACTATTACTAAGTATTATATCTATAGTAATTTATTATTTAGATAGATATCTTTACTATAATAGTCTGATTTAATTATAGATAAATTAGGTTTATACTTAATTAGTATAATAGGAATAGATTTATTCTTATAGATACTAAAATACTTATAAAGTCGATTTTTTAATATAAAGAGAGTATTATAGTTATTATATAGAATAAGATTATCTTTATACTTTTTATTAAATCTAATTTTTATAAAAGAATCTTTTATTTTTACTAGTACTTCTTCTTCTTTTTAATCTACTTTTTTAATAAAGTTATTCTTAATAACTATTATATATATATTATCTTTACTAGATATATTATATAGTTCTTTTATAGACTTATTATAGTCTTTAATATAATCTGGATTAGACTAGTCAATATACTAAGTATTAGTAGATCTAAAATAATATAGATTAAAGAAAAAAGGATATTTAGGCTAGGACTAATAATTATAGTCAAAGAATAGAGGAGTAGTAAACTATAGAGAGGATTACTTATAGAGTATATAGCTGTATCTAGGATTAACTAGTATAGTATATAAGTATCTCTAAGAATACTATCTACTAGTATTAAATAGTAAGGTTAGATTAGTTATAGTAATATATATCTTATAATTCTTATTACTATTATTTTTTTGATCTTATTCTTGATTAGTCTACTAATTATTCTATTTACTAGTAGTATTACTATTCTTATTACTATTAAAATTATTATTCTAGGTATTATTTTGTTACTATAGATACTAATTCTATAACTAATAACTACTATTACTATTCATCAGTATATTTAAGAATATCTAGCTGTATTACTACTAATCATCTTAGTCTTGATATTCTTGGTTATTCTAGTATGGTTGCTATTGATTTCCGCTATACTAGTTGTTTGGGGCTTGCTACTGGCGTTGTGATTACTGGTATGGATAGAAATTCCTCTGTTGATTGGCTTGGCTTGGGTTGAACTACCAACTAGCTGGGTTAGTACTATATTTACTATTTTTATCCTTATAGGAATTGTTCTTAGGTCTAGTGAAGGTATTACTGTGTCTTTAGTTATTATTAGTAATATAAACTAGATTCTTCTAATTATACTATTATTAATTAAGAGTCTTGAGGAATTTACTAATTATAGTAGTTTTAGTTAGATAAGACAGCTATATTTATAAGTATAGATTAATACAGTCCCAGATATATACTAATTAGTTAAACAGGTTGTTCAAGCAGGCGCCTTATATATAATAAATTACTTTCTGGGTAAACTATCCTATATATTAGTCAGTACAGATATTAGTTAGTCTATAGTATAGACTATTTAACTTATTTATTACTATATATAGGGATAGTTTAAATTACTTAATTATTTCTTTTAATTAGTCTATTTTAAGAGAAACTTCTACTATTAAGTATTTTTTATAATTAGTAAGACTAGTTATTTACTATTATAATATAGTCCTATATATATAGATCTAAAGATTTAATTTAACTATAGCTTCTCTGTAGTATTAAATAATATCTTTGATATAATTAATAAATATATATAAATTCTTATAGAATATATTTCTACTAACTTGTTTTATAGCTTTATCTAAAGATATATTAGAGTAGAAAAAGTCTATTTCTTTAGATTTTAGCTTCTTAATATATATAGTATTATTAGTATTTATATTACTATTATTTAGTCCTTAGTTATTCTTATTACTACTAAAAAGTCTAGGATTAGTATTAGTATTTCTAGGATTATTTCTATTACTAGTAGTATTCTGGGTATTTAAGATATTTAATTATTTCTATATTTATTTAAAGTAATCTATAAGAATAAGATATATCTAATCTTAATAACTACTACTATCTATTCTACTAGAATTACTACTATTATCTATACTATTATCACCATTACTGGGATTTATTTTAATATTAATATTCTTGGGTTCTAGTTTAGGATTAAATAGAAAACTAGTATAAAATACTCTATTAAAATCAGTACTAGTACTTTTAGAATACTAGTTAATTAGATTTACTTATCTAAAAGAACAGCTTCTATATTCTTAGCTTTAACTAAATCTTAGGCTTCCGAACAGGCTAAGAGATAGAAAGATACTGAAAGAAGATATATATATAGAAAAATTCCCAGATAAACTAAGAAATAATAAAGATAACTATATATAGAGAGGAAAAAGAGGTAGTAGCTATTATCTTACTAATAATAATCTAGATTATATAAATAAATCTAGAATAGTTTTAGGAGTAGACTCTAATAATTAAACTATCTAAGAAGAAGATAACTTAGTTTATAACTAAAACTAATCTTTATAATCTTATTTAGATATAACTAACTCTTCTCCAGAAGTATATATTAGTATCTATAGTTAGAATAAGAAAGATTATATTATTAATCTAGAATAAACATACCTAAGAGATCTATCAGACTTAGTAAAGTTGATTAGTATATACCAGGAATATAAATTAATATACTAACTAATATAAGACTTATTAGTAAGAAGATATAAGATCTAATTAAGAAAATTAGCTATATTCTTATATAGAATTAATCTATTAATATCCTAGAACTAGAAATACGCTTGAGTTCTTACTAATATAGATAAATAGATTATAAAAGTAAAATAATAAGTATAGAAGAGAATATTATTATTAAGATAATTCTTTAATCTTATATTTAGTAATTCTATATAGAAACAGGCGAGTTGATATACTAACTCTAATAATATAAGAATAATACTCTTTAGAATAGATAAGAGTTAGTAATAATATAATACTATATATACTACTTAAAGATATAAAAGTAATGAAATTATAATATTTAAAAAAACTAAACTAATAAAGCTATTCTAAATAAATAAGATTATTAATAGCAGAAGATAAATATAAGAATTAATCTAGATACTTAAAGTAAATATAAGACTCAGCTCAGCTAGCCAGTTATATAATAAGGGCAGGGCTTGATGACGTCTTGTGACCCACAGGAGATAGATAGAGAAAGTAGAAGAGCAGGCGACTGGTAGAACCACAGTGCGACTAACTGAGAGGGGGGTGTATTGACTAGAGGTGCCTGTAGTTGATGGTAATGATGAAAGGACGAACAAATAAAAGACAGAAGTAATAAAAAGTAATCAGAAGTTACCGGGCAGGACTATAGAAATACATATAGTGTCTGGAACCCGGGACATGCTACTAACTGTCAAAGTCGGTGGTAGGGAAAGATTCTTATAATATCATTATTATAAAGTTGTTCCTGGGAAGATTCCCGGGACGGGCGAAAACTAGCTAAGATCCACCCAAGGCGGAATAACAGTACAGAATCCTTCTCAACACCATCAACATCGCCAGCAGCCATAACAATAGAACTACTATTAATAACCTTACAACTCCTATAACCACTATAATACATCATCCTAATAATCTTACTCCTAATAGCCAGATTTTTCTATCACAATAGGATATACTACTATATATAACAGTCTATAATAATATAGTTTATTATAAGGTTGACTCTATTGATTATGTTGTAGATGAAAGAAGAAGTCAAGCAGATGAAAGGATGTCTGAAGGCGGAAGCCAGCGGCAGAATACCAGCAAAGCCACAACAACCACAATTTTTTCTTATATAAAAATTCTATTCTACTTTTACCCAGCTGACCTAGCTGTTACAATAAGTTATGATTCTATTAAGTAGTTTTACTCTTACAATATTGAGAGTTAAAAGCTTACTATTTCCTATATAATATAGAGATGGCCAGCTTGCTGGGGTGGCCAGCCTGCTTGTGATTATATTAACTAAGCAAATAATAAATCAGCTGAATAAAACAAATAAATTCCGAATTACCTTGAGAACAATGCCAGGACATCAACACAGAAATACTACAAACAAGGGACTCATCTGCTTTGAGTAGCGGCCATCAATTGTCTTCTTCATTTAAAATACTGCCACAGTCTTTGTAAAGATTCGCCATCCGCCAGCACAAGTGGGCGGTAGACGACATGTCATCAAGAGAAAAGTGCAGTGACCAACCACGGATCACACCCAGTCTCAGCCACCGAGCTTTGTCTGCATCGGATGTCGACGTACCTACCCTCAAGCTACGGAAACAGGAATATCAAAACCGCATTTTCAATCAAAACTACAGGCGGTATGGAGAAGCGGAGCTTGGAGAGCCGCGCAGCGCTGGAAGTGGGAAGAGCACTCCAGCATTATACAGATGGTCGAACTTGATGTTGATCTGCTCGCTCATTTTCGGGGGCTGCTGTGCTAATGTGAGTGCCTTTTCAAGCGAAAAGTCCTATTACTGATCTCTGAGTCGAAGGTCTTTGCGCTAGAGGCCATTATCAAGTAAGTTGATTAGTTTGTACTCAGCTGTATACAAGGATCATGTGCTGACCTTTTCTTTCTCAAGAGAACAGCCTAAGTCCGGTAAGGAACGAATTTCGAGCTATTGGATTCAATGCTGATGATCCGCAAGGTCCTCTTATCACAATCGCCCAATTTCTCCTAACTGCAGCCATTACCATCACGGATTTCATTTCTCCGTGCACCGGTCTTCGCTCCTTGTACCTCAGACCGCGGGCCATTCCTTTGAGATCGTGGCTCGTCTATACAGCATTCTTTATTAGCGTCAACCTTCTGAACAATTGGGCTTTCGCTTACCAGATATCTGTTCCTCTGCATATTATCCTTAGATCTGGAGGGCCTGTAGCGTCCATGGTCATAGGTTATTTGTTCAATGCTAAGCGGTATTCCCCGGGTCAAATACTCTCTGTGCTCATGCTCACCGTGGGCGTCGTTGCCGCCGCACTGGCGGATGCTAGGTTCAAAGGTCAATCAGTACATGTTGAGGGAATTCCAGCTACGACGACAATCACCGGTTTCGCAATTCTAGCTGTTGCGATGGTCTTGTCTGCCTTCCAGGGCATCTACGCTGATCGGCTTTACGAGACATACGGCCGGGATCACTGGAAGGAGGCTCTCTTCTATTCTCACATACTCTCACTACCTCTTTTCCTCCCAACTTATCCACACGTGGCCACTGAATGGCGAGCATTATTCTCTTCGCATACGGCAGACAGACCGGTCATATCTGTGGATTCTGAAACATCGAAGCAATACTGCAACCTACCATGCCTGGCATCGATTGCAAGCAAAATCACTGAACTATTATCATTCCACCTGGAGTACAGACCTTGGCGATTGATTTTGTCAGCAACGCCCAAACGCTTAATCTACCTTGCCGTGAATGCATTGACTCAGTACTTATGCATTCGTGGGGTACATCTTTTGTCTGCAAAAACATCTTCGCTAACTGTGACTATCGTGCTGAACGTTCGGAAACTCGTCTCACTCTTGTTGTCTATATACATATTTGGGAACTCTCTCACACCAGGTGTGTTCGTTGGTGCACTCTTGGTATTTTTGGGAGGTGCTTTTTATGGCTATGAGGGGACACGTGCCAAGAAAACACACTCGGACAAAAGATAAACATGGAAGTTAACTGTGGGCTATATCTGTATCAGGGTCTGGTTAGCCGACTTACTGTTCCCTTGCAGTATGCAGATTCACTTCTGAACCTAGGAATTTAGTGTAAGTCAATAGCACGATCTAGGGAGGAAATAAAACATGATAGTCACAAGAAGTCAAAGGTGTGATCTTGTACCAATCCTCTTTCTGGATGATAGACAGAAACAATAATTTGAGTATAATATACACGTCTGACAATGCCTCTCTTTCCCTCCCCGAAAACAGCTAACTCAGGGCGGGTTAAGACGCTTGCAGTTACTTAGAAGGCAAGGCTGCCAAGCTCCAAGAAGTTCTGCAACCGAACATGCCGGATCGAACGATCTACAAGACCTCGCCCACAATCTTCGCCGCCTCCTTATACGTATCCAAAAGCTTTTCGCACTTTTCTCTCTCCGCTTTGATCCCATCATCCTCGTAAAGAAGCTCCCCAAAAAGATCTTCCTTGTAAAGCTCGCTGACAAGCCTATTTTGCACGACGTCTTTGCTGTGATTGACAAGCAGATGCATAATGGCCTTAGGTACCTGGTCCGCTATTGTTTCCCTGACGATGTTGAAATACGAGGAGATCAATCGGCGGATCAATTCAGTTTCCAATATCTCGCGTTCAGACAAGGAAGAGTCGGGATCGTCTTTTGTCTACAGTTACCTGGTTAGCGCAAACTCTAACAGAGTGAGAATTCAGAGTTTCCAACTCACAGATATGCCAACATCATTGAAAGAGTCTACAGGAGCGACGTAATCGTCAGGCGGCATGATCGGTGACCGCAGATCTGTCCGTCGTGCGCCATGGCTGCCACTGGCCTCATGGGGACTTGCAAGCTGCCTATTCGTGTTCGAAACTTGCGGCAGCGAGGTCACAGGATGTACACCATCTTTTCCGAAGAAGTAATTCAAGAAAGAATCTCGGGTTGTATTCGTTGTCCCAAAAGTCGCAGAGGCGTTGGAGTGCGCCCCATTCAGTGTAGCTGCAATGCCGCCATCTTGACTTTTACCAAGGTGAGGAGACATGCTTCTCGCACCCCGCACGGACTGGCTTCTGCTGGAAACATTTTGTGGCTTGAGTTCAGGTTGCGGTTCTTCCTCATCATCCAATGAGGCAGCATTGTTACCATTCAACCCCCCAAGTTCCTTTAGCCGTCTCTTTTCTCTTTTCCGCCTATCCTCTGCCAGTGCTGCTTTCTTTTCTTGTTCCTGCTTGTTTTGAATGACGGACGACATTGCCGCTGCTGCGCCAAGGAAATTGGGGTGGTTGGTATTGATGTAGGCCCGCTGAATCGAAATAAGGGATTCGACGTATCCTGAACACGGGCCCAAGCGTTCGCGAAGGAGATCAGAGACCACTTCAATCAATTTTGCTTGCAGACGTGGAAAGCGAAGAAGCTCTTGTGAACCACATGTATGACAAATCTTGATGAGCTCTTCGTAAACGAGTTCGACGCATCGCTGACTAGGAGCTTCTAGCATCTTGATTTGGGGCTTTACAAGCAGGTCGAAAGCAAGTTCTGGAACAAACAAGCTCGGACGAGGGCCAGTAGAGTTTCGGATAGCCGTCCTGATATCAGACACAGTCAAGTTGTGGGTAGGATCTATTGTTTCAAGGGAGTTGCCGAAAACAGAATTGAATATATAATATATCCTAGCGCCACCGCAAAGCTCTTTGGTAGAAATCTCCGAAGACGTTCCGTCAATCGAGGATATGAATGACGATGCGAAGCGTGTCATCAGTTGCAATATCAGAGATCCACGATGTTCCTTCCCACTGAATTGTTTGTTGCCGTAGCTGGCTAGCTCTTGCTGTGTTTGTCCCATGAGAGTGTTGAGGCGCGCTTTGATATCAGGAAGCCGATCGCGAATGTGAGACATGAGAGTCGTATTCAATGTTTTTGCTAGAAATTGGGTGCCGCATCTGTTTGCCATGTTCCGATAAGCAGGATGGTGTCTGAAGAAGTCCAGCTCGGCCTGCAATGCGTCAGATAATGACTTCCCAGATTGAATGTCTTGTTGAGAGCGATTAACGACGCCGATGAAACCAAGCTTCAGCGGATAAACGCGACCAGAAAGGATGTCCATGGCATTGGTCCCATGATCCATGAGATCCAGCTTAGTGAGAACACCGATCGTTCTTCGACCCATGGGATCAACCTGTCGCGCAAGCTTTAAGGCCTCGGAGTTCACGAGGTCGACATTGGCAGGGGATACTGCCAGAATGATGCTGTTGGGCTTCGCTATGTATTCCAGGATCAATGCCCGGGTTTGTTTTTCGATATCGGACGGTTGATCTCCGATAGGCACTTTGGTCAACCCTGGCAAGTCAACCATCGTGAGGTTGAGGACATGGGGTGAAAAGATCTTGAGATTTATAGGCTGCCTGTTAATGCCTTTGTTGCTTCCCGCTATCCTTGCTGTCTCGGCTTCAATTTCCTGCTTCACCAGAGCAAAGTCATGGAATTTTCGACCCGGGAGATGGTGAAACTCTGCCCATTCATTCTGTCCAGCAACGCTTGCAGCAGTGTGAGGTACATGGACCTCATCACCATCAGGCCTATCATGCCGTTCACTAGGAATGTTTATGAGTTGAAGTATCAACGGTCTTCTTGTGACGATACCACTTCCCCTCGGTAGAAAGTCTCTGCCGACAATGTTTTCAAGGACGGATGACTTTCCAGAAGATTGAGAACCGACGACAACCTATAATAAGTAGTCAGCTCCATTACAGTGTGATTACATGTATCTGAAAGCCCGGGATAGAGCTGGACCCAAGCGATAATGACTCACAATCTGGGGTAGATCAAGTGAGTCATTTCCAATGGTATTGAAGACAAGATCTTGTAGCTTGTTGACAGTGATGAGTAAGTCCTCGCTGAGAGCTGCCATACTTTAATGCAATGACAAAGTGAACACTGCTCTCTTAGGTGCTCAAGTTTTGGAAAGAGTCCTGTAGGAAATCTGCAGAAACCTGAAGGACGCATACAAGATAATTAGAGGATGTGTTGTCAATATAATAGTTATTCAGATGGAAAGAGAAGTATCAAACCTTAAAACGAGGCGCAGATCTGCTGGGCTAATACATGACCTCGGACAGGCGCTCTCGAAACTATTTATCCATGCTTCGGCAAGTGCGAATGAGTTACATTCCGTACGGGTGAGCGATCACGTGGACTGACTAATCAATTGGCACTGACAGGATGATACGCGCAATGATCTGGAACATGTTCTTCACGGCTGGTATCTACACAGTAGAAGAGAATAAGTGTGTACGATTGAGCTACAACACCAATCCAGTAAATCTCACGATGATCGCTGATCAAATACAATTTTAAAAAACTGGTGGGTCTTTCTATATCAAGTAACATTTACAATGAGCACAAGTCTACTATTTTCATAATATACTATAAAAGGGAAGAGGTACCTGAATAGTGATATCGGTTGCAAGACTAAAAGATAGTACCACGGTTTACAAGGACTGCTTCGATCATTTCTGTGTATCGGCTCTTGTAGAAGGCTGTGGAAACTTAGGCACACAGAAATCCCTTCACCTCGAACAGAAGCAAATCGAAGCTAAGGTAGAGCGCGTGTCTGAAGGTTTGCGCTATTTCAGTTTCCTAGCTGCACATAATTCGCAGGAAATAGTCCGGTTTTTCCATTGTAATGGCCAAACCACCAATCGTCGTCTGGGAACTCCTAGAAAGAAAAATATCATCGGATCAGCATGAAGTCTCTCACTGGGTATTCAAGAAACAACTTTGCGCATTTGTGGACGCACACTGGAAAGTGTGTCGTTGGTTTAAGATCCAAGTAGAGGACTTACAATATGTGAAATTTCAGCGCCCTCGGGGAAGCTCAATTCATTGTCCTCCGCGGCCTCATAGTCGTACAAAGCAATTGCATTAGGTTCACTGGCGGGTTCAGGTTCGGTAGTGGGAGGGCCAGAAACGACGTTTGGCAAGGATGAGACTTCCTCATCTTCGGGAAGACCTTGGGTATCTGCCACATTGTGGGTTTGCGACGAACTGGAGACAAGCTCCACGTAGTTGCTGGGGAAAAGACCTCTGTCACCTTGAGCATTAGATCCTAGCCACCAGTCCTTGTCAACCATTTCGATGTTGTTCACAAGACCGCCTTCTCTAAGTTCGATCTCATTGTCTTCCGCTTTCTCATAGTCATAAAGGACTACAGCTTGAACTGCTTTGTGCTGAGCATCTTCACTAACGGTAGCTTCAGCCGTTGCACGACCAATATCATGTTGATCATCATCCAGATCCTCTTCTTTTGGCAACGCCTCCTGCAGGCTCTCGGTTGGAAGTGCAGGGGGTGGGGACTGCTGCTCGCTGTGAACGTCCGTCAATCCTTTACCAATAGGAGCAGCCACGCGTATAGGTGAAAGCTCACGCGCTGGTGCCAAGGGAGTAGGAGGAGTCGGAGACCGGGGCTGTTCAGGAGGGGTTGGGAGCGACTCGAAGGTCCTGTACTCATGGCTATCTTCAAATTTCGTAACCGAATCAGCCTCCTGAAGTCCTGGCACAGGTATGACACCGCTGGTCGACGGTGACTTTTCTTTGACATCTTGAGAACTACTAGGTTTGTCGTAACTTATATCGTCAAGACCGAGATTTGTGCTTGGCTGTGCAGACTCAGTGTCTGAGTCATGAGCTGAGCTATGTGCAATCAGAGGATGATCGGTAGTCTGCGGTATGTCACCGGTCTGAGCGGCCTGTACGTGGTGCCGGACGTTGCCCTGTGGTAGCTCAACACCATTGTGAGGCGGTGTACTGGACTTGATGTCGGGTAGATTGGATGGAATTGTGTTGGATAGTGGACCGCGTTCCTTAGCCTTACGTTCTGACCAAAGCTGAGCAGGTGTCTTCCCCCCTTCATCCGCAAACGTACGGCTCGCACTACCCACTAATGGTGCAATAGGTTGAGACGTCTGCGAAGGCAAGGGGGGCTTCGTGCCAAATGTGGCATTAGGAGCAGTGTTCTTTGCGACTTTGGGCTTCGGCAAGCTTGTCAGGCGTTCGTATTGATTCGCGACAGAAGATATGTTCGACGTATTTGAGTACCTGGTGATGTCTGAGGCTGGGTTTGACTTCACAGGGCCTTGCGCGTCGACTGGATTCTGGTTCCCACCCTGTGCTTTAGCCCGAATTGCAGCGATATCAATCTTGCCAACTGGTTGATACGCGCCTTTTACAGGCTCAGGACGATCATCTGCAAGATTGCCTGCTTCGCGTGCTTGCCTTCTTATGGCGGCGATGTCAACTTTACCGACAGGCTTATAACCACCCTTGATGACTTCACCACGGTCTTCAGAGTCTCGGCCCCCCGATAAACTAGGGGTAGACATCAAGCCAGCTTTGAGCTCCTCGATATTCACCTTCGTGGGTTTGTAAGCTGGCTGAACCTTTTCGAGGCTTGTCCTAGTTACTGGCGGTGCATCAGGACCCCAGCCATCATCCTCAGCCCTTGTTGCCGCCGTCGGTTGACTGACAGCCGCTGGGCTGTTCGCAACACTGCCTCCAGTTCGTGTTGGGGTAAATACAGGCTTTGTTGATACCGGAGGCTTGTGGGTAGAGGTAGGCAAACTTTTCGACCCTGCGGTACTATACTTCGCTCCAGAGGCATCCCCAACTTTCTGGACTATGCCCTCCGCGGTTAGGTCTTGCTCGGAACGAGCAGTTATCTGCACATGATAGCCCTGTGATTATATGTGTCAGGACGGAGTATCAGATGGGTTAGACTGGGCGCAGTCCACACTGACATGCAGAAATTTAGAAACAGCCGCAAGATGACTCGTAAAATAACCCTTTGTCCGCTCCGGTACGCCCTCTCCACACCAAGCAATAAGCACGTTTTTGGGGAGCCTGGAGTTCGGATCAAGAACTTTCACAAAGGCGAATTGTATCTTGCCCTCGGAGAACTCTTCAATCAATTCCAACAACTCACCGGCTACAAAGGGGGTATTAGTAGAACTCATCAGACAATGTGCGGACCAGTTGGCAGACCTCCAGTATCCTGGACCTTCAAGACACTCTCCTTGCTGCCAGAGTCTTGCTGGAAAGCATTTATAAGAGGAGCCGAAACAGAAAAGATGGCCCATTGCCCGTAAGTAGGGGAACCTGAGCCAGGCAGCGACGAGTCAATGACGGTCTGATAGCTCTTAGCTATCGAAGGTCCGTTGGTAGACAGGTTTAGAGTAGCCATGTTTGTGACCAAAAAATGAATTGGAATTGATACTTCTGGTGCGGGCACGACACACTACAAGGGGCTAGAGTAGCAATGTTAGAGTAGGTTATGTGGAAGAGCTGGGACGAACTATGATGGTAGGATTGCCAAGGATTGTCCCATAATTCAAGAGCGGCCTTTAGCAAAGCCAGGCGTGACTTACAATAAATAGGAGTGTGGTAGATGAACACGATTTGTGCCTCAGAGATGGAATGACTGTTGATTGTTTCATGAGCTAGGTACAGAGTGCTGTGGCCGCAAGGAAGTACGTAACTAGGACTGTACGGAGTACGTCACACCTTACTCCTGAATAGGATCCGAATGTGGCGGTGCGAATCCACCCGCCACCAGGATGATACCATCTATTAGGTAGTAACTAGTTAATCAACTATTTGATCACCATTCCTAAGTCGGATGATGGAGGGGTGGAGAAACAGACTACTACTACCTAGCTTTTACTTGTAATACTCCGGTTCGATACTACGAGCAGTTTGAGACTACCATACTAGTACATAGTAAATACCCAAATGTAGATTCAGGTTACACAATTGAAGTTCTGTCTAATGTCCTGCCTCCGGTCAGGCGATGGTAGCCCTTATCCGCAAATTCGAGTCACAGCCTATATCCATGGACCCAAGAGTGCAATCGAGTTCATTCCAGGTTAAGAAGTCTAAATCCTGTAATCTACCAAATAATCTGTGTATAGGCCTATACTAACACCCTTCGCTAGACATAGACCTGCAAGCAACAACACTCTTCCTTTGTTATCGCTTGTTGGTCAATCCCTCGGGTGTCTGCTTAATAATATTTGCCCAGTCACACTGGGCGCTGAACAGGTGCGGTGAGCACTTTCGGGCCTGCCACGAATTTTGCAAGTGTCTGGACTCTGCAAAGCGTATACGGGAGAGTCCAACCAACTAAGCAACAAGGTTCCAAGCAAGTACTACAACACTGTGACAGTACGATTGTGCACATCAAAGTGTGCTGCAAAGTTGAGAATGGCTTCTCTACGCCTAGACGAAGCTCTTGGGCCGATTTCAAATGCCAACGCATCTTCAGACTCATCAAACAAGGAGTCTCTGCCTCGAACAAGCTCCCACTCGTCCCTTCATGTTGCTGACGACACTGGAGCAAATAATTTAGATCTCACAGAGTCTCCTCCACAAACACCCGAGGATATTCTTCCGAGGGATATACAGCTAAAAACACCGACATATGACTACGCATTCGAGAAGTCAATGAGCCACACAGAAGCAAAGCTTTTTTATCAACAGCATCAGCTCGCTAGTCGGAGTAGTGGAGACAATGATCAGTTCTTTAAGGCAGCAGCAACTACATGCACACAGACTTTCCCAGCAGAAAAGGACATCGTCGATACGGCAGGAATAGCCAGAGATACCGCTGAGTCCGCGAGTCCCGGCCTAACAAAACAACCGTCTCCACTAGTTCGGCATGCAACAACCGCCAAGAATTCCAACACACCTCTTGCTATTCCAGGAGTTGAAGATTTGCATAAGCAGCTGGCTTCCAAACCACACTCTAATCTGCACTCCTTTAACGAGAAACAAATTCTAGAAGATCCAAGAAATTTGGGGAGTCCGGGAGATGGACTCGGGTCTGTCCAAGGCGTCATGCATGTTTCGCCGGGCGCCAATGTGATCGCCTCAGATCTGGATGTCATATGTCGCAAAATTAAGGATCTGCTCAATCGAAGGGCTAGATATGTACAGTTATCCTTACAAGGGCCTGACGATAACCCTAAGGATGCGCCCAATTGGCAGATCTACCCTCCGCCCCCCGAGCCAGCATGGGATGATGACAAAGATCTTGGGATGGTCAATGATCGTCCACGGGCTGACTACAAGAAGAGAAAAATGGGTGAGGATGTAGGCGAAGACTTCGACATGGCCGAGTGCCTACCGCTACCTGGACAATCCGACTGGGTTATCGAACTGGATGAAAATAGTGTATATCAAGTTTATGAGAGTGATGCGGCTCGACAAATGGGACAACCAGCGGTTAGAATCCCATCCTTGAGAGACTTCTACATGGACCTGGATGCGGTCACTGATATATCGACTGACGGGCCTGCGAAAAGTTTTGCATTCAAGCGGCTCTCTTACCTTGAAGGGAAGTTTCAACTGTATACACTTCTAAACGAGTATCAGGAAATAGCCGACAGCAAGAAAGTGCCTCATAGGGATTTCTATAATGTTCGGAAGGTGGACACGCATGTGCACCACTCCGCATGCATGAATCAGAAGCATCTGCTTCGTTTCATTAAAAGCAAGATGAAAAAGTCACCGGACGAAGTTGTGCTGTTCCGAGATGGCAAACATTTGACATTGAGGGAAGTTTTTGAAAGCATCAATCTCACAGCTTATGATCTCAGCATCGATACACTCGATATGCACGTATGCTTCAGTCGCCTGATCATGATTCTGGCTCCATCACTGACGTCTTGATTAGGCACACACCGATTCTTTTCATCGATTTGACAAATTCAATCTGAAATACAATCCTGTTGGCGAATCCCGCCTGCGAGAAATCTTCTTGAAAACGGATAATTTTATCAAAGGGCGCTATTTGGCCGAGATAACGAAGGAAGTGATCTCAGACCTGGAATCCAGCAAATATCAAATGGTGGAGTGGCGCATCTCCGTGTACGGGAGGTCAATCGACGAATGGGACAAGCTTGCTGCCTGGGTTGTGGATAACAAGTTGTTTTCCCCGAACGTTCGCTGGCTCATTCAGGTTCCTCGTCTCTATGATGTCTATAAGTCGAGCGGAATGATGGAGAATTTTGAGCAGGTGATAACGAATGTCTTCAAACCGCTTTTTGAAGTTTCTCAAAACCCATCTTCACACCCTAAGCTACACATTTTTCTTCAGAGAGTTATTGGATTCGATAGTGTTGACGATGAAAGTAAGGCCGAGCGACGGCTTTATCGGAAGTATCCCATTCCTAGAGAGTGGAACACCAAACAGAATCCACCATACAGCTACTGGATCTATTTCATGTTCGCCAACATCGCTTCTCTGAATACTTGGCGCAAGCATCGCGGTTTCAACACATTCGTCTTGAGGCCACATTGTGGTGAAGCAGGCGATCCCGATCATCTTGCCGTCGGCTTTCTTTGCTGCCACAGTATCAGTCATGGGATCCTCTTGAGGAAAGTTCCTTTGCTTCAGTACCTCTTCTATCTCGATCAGATAGGGATTGCCATGTCACCTCTCAGTAACAACGCATTGTTTCTTACGTATGACAAAAATCCGTGCGCCAATTTTTTCAGGAGAGGTCTCAATGTCTCCTTGTCTACTGATGACCCCTTGCAGTTTGCCTTTACCAAAGAACCACTAATTGAGGAATATTCAGTAGCCGCGCAGATCTATAAATTCAGTGCGGTCGACATGTGCGAACTTGCGAAGAATTCCGTTGAGCAAAGCGGCTTCGAGCTCTCTCTAAAGAAAAGATGGCTTGGCAGCAATTGCTCCGCACCGGGGGTCATGGGAAATAATGTCGCCAAGAGCAATGTTCCTGACATACGTGAACATTTCAGACACGAGACATTGCTTGGGGAACTTGCATTGTAGGCTTCCTTCCGGTCTATTTCTTTCCATCTTCTATGCCATGAATTCACTAACTATTCCCAGAATTGAGCAATATTGCGTCAAATTGGCTGATGAGTCAGTGACGAAATCAGACATTGCGCCTTAAGCTATACTTAGTGGATGTGGCCTCAAGCGACCACTGGGTAAGCTATTACTGCATCGTACGAAAGCAATAGGGAAATAATATCTTCCACTTATAGATGCGGGTTAAGCAATAACGATTTGCGGTAAATTGCTGACAGTGGTTGGTCGACATTGCGATCTAGCCTCAAAGCCATTCTTTGAGAAGAGTACACGATCAACCAGAAATATCCCTGGGGTATCGGTCGAAGAGTACGTGCGCAAACAAGGCAAGTCCCACATGGAGCGCAGCATTAGGGTCGCCTAAAGCAGTATGCTGGTTCAGCTTTGATGAGTGGAAGCAATAGGATTAATGCCCGATCCCCATGACGTACAATCCCAATCCATCCACTTTGCCTGTGTACTAAGCACCGAATGGATATTTGCGTCCGGAAGCCTTTCTCTGTGGGACGTGATGGAGGGAGTCTTGCGCATTCCACTGACAACTTTGTGGGTCGTGCTTGATGGTTTTGTTACCAATTTTAGACAGCCCAGCTCCCTTTTCGTTCACATACACCCCATGCTCCATGTTCTCCATTCATGTCAAGGTATCCGGTCCGATGCCTCTCCCTCGCCCAGTCAAGGATGTACAATTGTAGGGCCCTCCAGCGCATGCAGATGCCTGTTGAGGTGTCTGCGCCTTTAGAGAGACTGTCGGAAACGCCGACGTGCCCCATCGCATCTGATTTCAAATCATCCTGTCTTAAATCTGCAACCGATATGCCGGAGATCCTGCTAAGTTCGTGATCAAAATAACGGGCGACGCAGGGATAACCCAGCGAAAGATAATTATATATCTGGGTGACTAGACCGTCGTGCAACTCTGACTCGAGAGGTTCGTGACGGAAGTCTTGGTTTGCCATAGAGATAGTCGGAGTAATTTCCCCTGGACCGCGCTGGGTTGGCCGATTCGTCCTTGCATGATCTGCATCGCTTGGCTGGAGTGTAGATGTCTTGTATCTTTGTGGCACAGGGCATACAACTGATTGTTGCGGTGATTGAGTCTGTTGCGGATTTTGGGGTTGGCAGGTACCCTTCCAAAGGCCGCCGTTGCTGGGCCTGTCATGAGCACCAGCAGGCCCGTACCAAAGACCAGAGCATCCACAGAGCCTATTGCGCGTGACGTTGTGTTGAATGTTGCTGCCCTCACATATTGTCGATTCGGGCGACAGGCTCTGGGGGAAAATAAGATCTTCTCCGAGCATTCGGGGAGTGGTGTCGCTTTTCACCGTCGCTAGATCACGACCTTTAACTCGATTGTCTTGATGCGTGACTTGCGGCTTAGTTCCAAGTGAGTGTACATCATTCATCGGTGAGAATGGCGACCCTCTGGTTCGGGCCATTGCACGATCACTCATCTCGGCTTCTTCTTTGTGTCGGCGCATATACTCAAGTTCCCATGAGAGATCTGCTGACGATGTTCGTCGATGAGCGCGTGAAGTGGAAACATCAAAGTGAGCAGGAATTGTCACTTCATTGCTGTAAATCTCTTCGTCTTCTCTATCAATTGCAAAGTGATCAACGGGCTGATGATCTTGTTCGTTTGGAAAAGCTGCCAGTGCCTGCTCTTTTAGTTGTTTCTCTGCTGTAATGGCTGCGATAGTAAAGAGAAGTTCTGGGCTTTTGTCTCCCAAGCTGATGGATTTGTTCAGGCCTGCCTTGTTGTGTTTCTCGACTCTATGAGGCGATTCAGGGACTGATGAAGTATCAGAGGTGTCAGAGGCCCCGCTACAACTAGAAGGAATCGCAGGGAGATTAGGGATGCGAAAGGAGTGTCTCCTCGTTTCTTGCCGCTGACGTAGGGCCATGTATGAAAATCGCGATTCATGTGCCAAGTGTCTGTGAATGTACGTGACATCGCCAACCGCGGTAAGAAGGTTGAGAGCCTCTTGCTGTGGTTTTTGCTTACGACCTTCCTGAGAGAGCGTGTCCGTTCGCCGAAAAGAGCGCGTGTCTGTTTCCATGAGCTGTGGTGGAAACCTTCTGAACCCTAGGCAGTATTCATGACCAGTTTGATCAGACTCGTCTTCGATTAACTGAGATGGAGTATGCTTACCGACTTTGGTGGAATCTTGCGCTGTTTGTATGCTCGGTTCGTGCAGGGCCACTGCCTGTGTGTTTTCTGTGCACCATATCTGTTGCAGGGAACGGTTTCTTTCTGCATCATCATAGAGTTTGATCGGATGCTCTCTGCGTTCTGTAAATGTTCTTTGTCTGTCTGAGTGCCGTTGGCTAGCTAATCGAGCTTGTGCAGTTTGACTGTTTGATGGACCTTCTTTGGAGCTGCGTGATGAGGTCTCAATAAGTTCCGGCTGGAACCTACTTGTCCTTTGTTGGGAGGCCGATGTTTGCTTGGGCATGATTACGGCGTTCTTGGAATCTAAGTCTTGGCTCTAGGATAAGGAGGGATTCTCCTGGACGTCTCGGTGTCATATATTTCTTTGTGCTCTTTGCTAGGAGGACATGGGCTTGATGGTCATGTTAGTATGGTTTATGGTAAAGAATATTGAGTGATACTTATCAGGAGGCACTGTTGGTGACGGGAAAAATAAACATATCGTAATTGGGAAACTATAGCAATAAGTCCCCAAGCTTTGGGTACATATCCAGGTAGCATATTAGTAAAGTAGGAAAATGATAACTAAGGAACTCACTGCTGATATGGTGGTATACCAAACACACAACCTAACCCAGAATAGGGATTATTGAAAAGGACAGTACTAAACCCCTCTGGAATATTTCTGAAGTTTTAAAGAATGATGAGTATACATATCTGAGTATTTTGAGCACAGTCTAGATTAGTAATATCCATTGGGAGCAGCCATTAAAGAGTTGTGTCCCAAAAGCTATTGCACCGCACTAATATGCTCGGTGTATTGCAGATGTATTGATTCCATTTCTTGATAAGCCATAAAACTTTATTGGTCTAATGTAAGCTGCGGTTGAACCGCCATTGCAGGCAGTATAGTAGTCAATGGTGGATATCATTCTGCTGTGTTGTTCTATCTTAAGCAGATCCTTAGCTAGAATATCCATTGTAGAATCCTTCCTTATCAACAATAACAATAATATTAGAATAGTATATGTGTTACTATCTAGTATCTTTAATGTAATTGTTAATGTAGAGATTGATAGTATACTAAGTATCTTAAGGATATTTATCTTAAGTATAATATATCTTTTCTATAGATAAGAATAGACTAATAATAGTAGTATTTATAATATATATATTTACAAAGTAATCTTACTAGTAGATATTCTATCTTTAGTAGAATTATAGTATAGTATTATAGAATTAATATTATCTTTTTCTCTAGTTATTACTTTGATTATTATTGTTCTATAATTATTAATTATCTTTTATTTAACTATCTTAAGATAGATTTATTATAGTCTATTAGATAATATCTTGACTATGACAGGTTTTATAAGATATAAAAGATCTGGGCTGCTACTACTAGTTCTACTAGTTTGACTAGTTTATCTATAGATAATATTACTTCTGGTTTTGATAATCTTAGAGATAATTCTAGGATTCTTATAGCTTTTTAAAGTTATATATTTTATTAGTTCTAAAGTTATTTTAGAATCTCTGGATATTGTTATATTTTTACTCTTATTCCTGCCTATAGAAGTTATACTTATTATAAAATTCTTAGTCATAGATTATATTACTATACTTACTTTTATTTTCGATAATATATACTAGTACTTTCTAGTTATATTACTACTTATCTAGTTGCTTAAGAAATTCGCCTACTATAGTATATTAAGTTAAATGAATTAGCTATATATAAAGATAAGAATCTAGACAGTTCTATATATATATTAATTAATTAAAGGAATTATTTGTATATATAGTATAGGAATATTAAATAAACTCATTTATAAATTATTCTATATAATAATCTACTTAATAATTAAAAATATTCTATAAAATACTACACTAAGCTTAAACTTCATAGTATATAGATTAGATTTAAAATACTTTTCAAGCTTAGTAAGTCAACTACCTTTAAGAGATAGTTAAACTATAAGATACTTCTTATAGTTAGTAAGACTCTATATACTACTATAACACAGTACTATATATATATACTTATAGATTAGGCTTAACTATAAATTCATCTTAATACTAAACTATATTCTTTACTCTATCAATACATATAATAGTATTCTTATAGTATATCTTCTTTGCTAGTTGTTTTATAACTTTCTTATGATTTATATTAGAATAAAAGAATCTAATTTCTTCTAGTTTAAGATCTTTAATATAGATTATCTTAACTATATTAATATTTTAAATAGAATAAATAGAGTATTACTTAGAGATATATTTATAGTAGTCTAATAGAACTTAATTAGAATATATAGATTATATATAATCTAAATAAGAATAAGATAAGTGATCTAATAAACTATTATTTTCAGAATTTAAATCTAGAGAATTACCTCTTATTTATCTAGAATAAGATAACTTTTTTTACTTCTCTACTTCTTTCTATCTTAGATATCTTATCTATACAAGAATTGATCTTATTAAGATAATTAAGAATGGTAGTAAATATCTTTGCTGATACTATAGAAGCTGGATTGGTCTATGATCTATAGAAATATTATTATTGTTACTAGGAGTATCTAGAGTATCTATAATATTTTCTAGAATTAGACTATAATAACTACTATTAATATTACTTCTTCTAATATTTAAAGTATTACTATTATAATCTGAGCTACATACTCTATAGACTAGGATTTTAAGAGTATTACTACTATTATATACGAAAATAACACAATTTAATTAAAAAGTCGGTTTCTCAGTCAATTCTTTATATAATTTTCTAAAAATAAGCTTCAAATATATAGCAAAATTCTATCTTTTATTCTATATTAAATTTGTAGCCCTACTTGTCTAAATAGGTAAAATATTAAGAAAAAAGAGAAATTTTATATATATAAGCTTTATAGACTCAATTTTAATATTCTTCAAAGATTTATAGTTCTATAAATAGATTAGAATTTTTACTATAGTCTAAAGCTACTTTGAGTCTAGAATCTCTAATCTTTGATTTTTCTAGATTTTTTAAATATTAATTTTAGTATTTTCTTATATAAATAGTTTGTTCTATTTTTATCCAGCTGACTTAGCAATTCTACTCCATCAAAATTTCTATACTTTTAGCCCTAAAATTATATAATTTTAATACTCTACCCACACAAACCATTCTATAAACCACCCTGCTAATCATCCTGCCAATCACTCTACCAACTACCCTGCCAACCATTCTACCAACCACCCTGCGAAAAGCCCTGTGAGGAAGCCTACAAGTAAGCCTACTAATAAGTCTACTAATAGCCCTGCAAACAGCCCTGTAAATAGCTTGCGAACAGCCCTGCTAACAGCCCTGCGAGCAAGCCTGCGAGGAGGTCTACAAGGAACAGTCCTGCTAATAGCCCTGCGAGCAAGCCTGCAAGGAAGCCTGCGAGGAACAGCCCTGCTAACGGCCCTGCGAGCAAGCCTGCGAGGAATAGCCCTGCTAACAGCCCTGCTAGCAAGCCTGCGAGGAATAGCCCTGCCAACGGCCCTGCTAGCAAGCCTGCGAGGAATAGCCCTGCGAACAGCCCTGCGAGGAACAGCCCTGCCAACGGCCCTGCGAGCAAGCCTGTGAGGAACAGCCCTGCTAATAGCCCTGCTAACAGTCCTGCCAACAGCCCTGCGAGCAAGCCTGCGAGGAACAGCCCTGCTAACGGCCCTGCTAGCAAGCCTGCAAGGAACAGCCCTGCGAACAGCTTTGCGAGGAACAGCCCTGCCAACGGCCCTACAGCCGAGCGCGTAAGTGTGAGGCAGTCTACAAAACAGCCCTATAAACAGCCCTGTCAACAGCCCTGCGAGCAAGCCTGCGAGGAACAGCCCTGCCAACGGCCCTGCGAGCAAGCCTGTGAGGAACAGCCCTGCCAACGGCCCTGCGAGCAAGCCTGTGAGGAACAGCCCTGCCAACGGCCCTGTAAGAAAGCCTGTGAGGCAGCCCACCCTTCCATATACCGAGCGTAGCGAGGGTCCAAGGCTTGTTAGTATATAATATTTTAAGAGTATTAGTATAATAAGACTTCTTGTACTTTATAATAGAAGATTTAGTAATACTAAGATATTCTAAGATATACTAGAATATATTAATATCTAAAACCGCGCCAGCTACACCAAACAGCACGCCACCATTGAATTATCGATCAGGAAGAGTAGAAGATTATATATAACTCTATTCTCTATTAATCTATTATTTTTTAATAGTTTTTCCTAATCCTTATGATTATATAATAGCTTAATATTATCTAAAATACTCTTTAAAAAGCTAATATAGTCTTAAATCAGAACTAACTATTATTATAAAAATTTATATATATATATATAATAGTTATTAATAATACTCTTAAGTAATTTAAAGATGAGTAGAAAAATAAATAATAATCTACTAAAATTAGTTTTTCTTTTACTAATTAAAAATCCTATTAAGTTTACTAGTTAGATTATAGAGATATTCTTAATAAATATTATTTATAAAAATCTTAAAAAGATTAAAAGTATTCTTTAAATATAGATAAGTTAGTAGCTATAAATTAGTAAAATTTTGAATATTCTTAGTATTAGACTTATAGCTACTACTTTTATAGAAATACTTAAGATATACTTATATATTAATACTATCTACTATATAGTTATTACTACTATCTCTAGATTATATATAAGTAACTGACTTACTAAGATCTAAACTAATATAATTAATACTATAGATAAATTAACTAGCTTAAGTAGTCTACTAGTATAGTTAATATTTATTAAGAATCTTATTATTTATATATATAAAATTATAAACTCTATAGTTAATCTACTATAATATGATAATAGAACTCTAGTAGATTATATTAATAAAAATATTACTAATATAAAGAATAAGATAATTATCTACTATAAGATTTTTAATAGTTCTATATCATTTAGTAGTAATATAGTTATTATAATTAATAATCTTAAGAATCTTAAATATCTTATTTATATATAGATACTATAGATTAACATACTTAATCTAAATATAATAATTAAGTAGTATAGATATCTAATTATAGTATATAGTATAGATATTAGCTATATCAGTAATAAAGATTCTATAAAATCATAAAGATTCTTAAAAGAAAGAATTAAGACTACTAATACTAGCTATTTAACTATAATATCCATTAAGATTATATATATTAGTTAAATATAATTATAGAAAACTATTACTAAAAAGAGTAATTTTTCTATATTAATAATTAAACTTAATAATCTAAATATAATAAATACTCTTCTTTATAGATACTTTATATTTAATAGTAAATATTTTAATATTAACTACTATAATTATAATTAATAGCTCTTATAGTATTTTAAATACCAGAGATATAGCTATATCAAGTAATACTACTAAAGAAATAAGATCTATATATATTATACTAAATTATATAAATTACTAGACTATATATTTAAGAATAATAAGATATATACTAAATATATAAACTATAGCTTAAAGTACTTCATTTTTAATTATATATATATTAAGAAGAAATATCTTAAGACTA